TGCATCTAATTAGATGCATCTAATCCTGCATCTCTCCCTTGGCTGCTTTTCAACCAAACCAGCCACCTCTGTTGCACGAACACAGTTCTTGCAACCCTGTTCTTGCCTTGGGGACTTGGTGCTTGCGGCTCCCTCTACCCTGCCACGTGTTCATGCTTACCTGGCTTCCCTGACCACCCTCACTAGCCGTGAAGGATGTTAGAGGACCCAGTCACTCTCGCTATCTGTCACTGTGTGTTTTCTTAACTCGCCACTTGTCGCTGTCTGAAACTATTTTTTGCTTAACTTATTATGTCTTTCTCCATTATGTTATTTCCTGGAGAAGGTGGAGACCTTGCTTTACCCTCAGCTTAGCAGCCTCACATACCTGGTTGTACTACAATATTTTTCATATAACACGCTCAATAAATATTTGTTGAATGAATTAATGAATTCTACCGCAACCCTGCACGGGCCCTGGACAAGTGAGGGCCCTGGTTAATCCACATACAGTGAATGAGCGAACGTCAGAAAGTAAAGACTGTGTGTCCATTCTTAGGGAATAAAAGAAGAGTTCTGGTAGCCTCAAGTTCAACACTGAAGGAGGGAAAAGACAGTATCTTTCCAAAGCTTCTTGACTGATATGTCTTAAGATACTAATATTGTTTTAAAATGAGGGGTTTGGGGGGACTTACAGTTTATTGAGCCTCTACATTTGGATTTTGCCAAGTAGAAGGCAGTTTTTAAATAATTTTGCTTTTTTTCCCCTTTTGCCTAGGATCTTGGATGATAGCACTTTTATTCTTCTAGAATGCATGTTGGTATTCATAAACACAAGTTCTTTAAAAACACAAGCTTACTGGAATGACTTGTTTTGCCCCACCTTCTCCTACAGCCCGGCGTTGACTGATTTATTGCTCACTGCCCTGGAAAATCCAATCAAATATGTTGAGGAGAACGTGGAACAAAAGGTAAGTCTTCCGGTTTCCGTTTAGTATAAATGGGAAGGAACAACTTTTTGCAGGAAGGTCTTTGTGAGCGGAGTGTAACCTTGTGAAGGGTATCCCGGCCCCTGGACACAGCGGCGCCCCCAGTGCGGCAGCCACACTCGCTGCTCAGCTGGTAACATTTTCAGAAACGCCAGACCTTGGTGTTCAATAGCTTAAGATGGGCAAGGATGAGGCGAGTTACACCACAGAGACTGACAAACACCCCAGATGATCTTGGGTGTTTGTTTTTTTAATTTTTTCTGGAGAGCCCATTATTGGATATTCACCATCATCCCACCGCCCACGTGGAACCCAGTTTACAACTGGATGTATTTCACTGAACCCCCTGCGAGGGAAGAGTAACTGGAACAGGGAAGCCTCTTCAACTTTTTCGTCTTTTCAAATAAATAACGCACCTCCACTTAAACCATGTCTTTTGTAAAACCATGGAACTGTTCTAAAAACAACGTCTGTGTTACACAGGAAACAGACAGAATTGTTTGCTCTACCAACATTCTTCATCAAGCTGATCAGACGCTGCGAAGAATTGTCTCTCAGACCATGAAGGAAGCAAAAGGTACGCTGGGTATATTCTGTGAAAACAAGCTTAGTCATCAGGGAAATGCAAATCCAAACCACAATGAGATACCGCTGCACACGCACAAGACACCGAGAATCAAGAAGTGTAAGTGCTGCTGAGGATGTGGTGAAATCAGAACCCTCCTACACGGCTGCGGGGGGTGCAGAACGGTGCAGCTGCTTTGGCCAACAGCCTGGCAGTGCAGGGGTATGTGGGACCCAGCAGTTCCACTCCTAAGGACGAAAGAGAAATGAAACGTGCTCATAGGACAATTTGTACACAAAGGTTTATAGCAGCATCATCCAGAGTAGCCAAAAGATGGAAGCACCCCACATGTCCACCAGCTGATGTGTGTACATAACATAGATTATACAGCCACAGGGAGGGATGAAGCATCAGTATGTTACAATGTGAATGAACCTTGAAAATTGAGCAAAATGAAAAAAAGCGCATCAGAAAGGCCACATGCGTCGGCAGGGAGATGTCAGAACAGGGAAGTCTAGAGGCACAAGGGAGACCGGTGGTTGCTAGGGGCTGGGAGGGGTGACAGGGACGGAGAAGGGGGTGGCAGCCGAAGACGATGGAACGTTCTAAAATTGTGGCGATAGGTGCAGATATGTAAGTTGTAGTTTAAATGGCTAAATGGTATGGTGTGTGAATTCTCTCAAGAAAGCTGTTTAACAAGAAAATTCGTTTCCAGTCACCGTGCCTACACAGTTGCCTAGTGGGTGCTGGGTTGAACAGGGTCGATATAGGACACTCCCATTATTGTAGAAAGTTCTGTCGGACCGCTGTAGTAGGTAACATCCCAATTTCAAAACCAAAATGTCATGTGCTGTCTTTTTTTGCCTCACTACCTGTTAGTTCAGGAAGAATGTTGATCAACAACAAAAAAACTCCTTTACAGGCTTGTATTCTTTGCCTGGGAATTTCATAGCAAGGGATTTCCATGATTTGCTGTATCACATTAACGTGACCTTTTGTCCATATATTATACCAACTCAATGATGACCGTGTAAGAGTCTGATTGGTCTGTCCGAAGTAATCAAATCAATTTTCTGATGTCACTAGATAGCCCAACTTGATTGAATTTACACAAATAATTTTAGAATATCTTGATTTTAGATGAACAAGTGCCTCCTTACAAATTGAAACTTCTAGCAGAAGAACTTAACAAGCTCAAAGCAGAGTTTCTGGAAGACCTAAGGCAAGGGAACAGAAAGTACCTGTGCTTTCAACACACCGCTGAATTATCGGGTGTCGTTTCTTTCTTTCATTATGAGAAAGACAGCATTGTGCAGAAGTATTTTTCAAAGCAGCATTTGAAGTTCTGAATTTCTAACCAAATGTCTGATTTTGGTTAAGATTTTGCAAACTGATTACGATAATTTTGTATTACTGAATGTTTTCTAGGCCAGTGAACTGCCAAAGGCTTATTCTTTATAAAAATCAGTCATTCTAAAAGGTCCATTTGTTCTAACAGAAATGACTTTGTCAGTCACTTGTCGGATGCCGCATGGGTCATTAAGCATCAGCCTTCCGTGCCGGAGCCCTTAGGGCTGGGGAGGGGCAGGAGTCTCGATGCGTGGATCTTAAATACAGTGAAGAAACTAGAAAGGAGACAAAATGTGGATGCTTGGAGCTGATTTTAACTCACGTGACAGATGTTCTCATGGGTGAGGCATTCTACAGATTGAAACAAAGGTTGCCAATAAAACCTTTTTCTCTTAACATTTTACATACTGGAAAGTTACTAAAAAAAAAAAAATACTTGGGTCCTAGTTCTCAAAAAAGAAAAATCGAAATCATTAGAAAGTGTTATTTTTTTTATTCATATATTACAAAAGCAAAGCTTTCACAAAATGAACTACATACTAGGTATGGTTATTTCAGCATTAAGTCTTTTTCTGAAATCCCTAAACAATATAGTTTTTGCAACCATACTCGATTTGTTTTGCATACAAAATATGTTCTTTACATCAAAGTACATATTAACAAAAACAAATTCTAGAAATCAAATACCCTCTAAGACTATTTAATGAAAAAAATGCTTAGCAGGGAATTTTTTTTAAAAATAGTATGTCCATTTGATAAATATTTTTGAACTTAAAATGAGGTTTATCTTTTAACATTTTTAAAGTAATATCCCCCTTGTCAAATGATTCTGCAGATGGATGGCAAACACTTATTTCTAAAATGAATAGTACTGGAAAATATCCAATGGAGTTTTTTCAAAGTAAAAGTCTAGGCCTTTACTTGAATTTCAAGAAGTTGTAGCTACATATATTAGTAGAATCTGAAATAAAGTAATTCCCTATTAATGACCTCATAGTTACTTAAAAATATATTAGTGGAGATAAATTATCTTACCAACTTTAAAATCTAAACTTATGTTCACTGAACAAAAATAAATTTAATTTCAGAACACTGCCTGTTAACAGCAAAATACTATAAATATTGCATGTTAAACTTTCCCCAACAGCTCATTTCTATAAAATACTTGATTAAAAATAAAATGGGACAAATATATTCAATATTTAAGGGAAGATACATTTAACTCACGTAAGATTTAAAATCCTCAATCTTTTAAAAAATACAATACTAAGAAAGTTTCTAAGGTAGATTTGCTTCAAAAACGTTAGTGCACTTAGAATTGTACCTTTCAAGCATCAACACCTTTGGAATGCCAACTGTGCTCTTTAAGTTAAAGGAAAATTAGAATTATACATTCTAGTTTGTAATTATGAAAAAAATGTTCTATGTCTAAATTAAAATACACCTACAAAATATCTATAGTTGTCAGAAAAAAATGTTATTTGTCACCATTTGGCCCAGAATACAGAGTTAATAAACTGGTTTTAATGAGAGTTCTTCCTTTTGTTTAATGAAAACTTTCAGTTTCTATTTTGGGTATTGCTTTTATTTTAAGGATAAAATACAAGTGAAAGGGCAAAAATAAAAGCTTCCAAAAGACAGCAACCTCCTCCTTTCTGGCAGTAAGTACATACTGGGGCCAAGTTCTACACTTGAAACCGGCTGCACTGGGACTGATCTGAGTGGGGGGCAACCTAAGCCACAGGGCGAAACGGGACTGTAGGGTTTTAGATGCAAGCCTTGTCTTTGAGAGGAAAGAGCAGCCCAGTTCGGAGACACTCGGAGATCCCACCTCTTTGGACAATGCCCGTGAGTTGAGGCTGGATGTTAAACCACAAGAACTCGTTTTGCTGGCTTTCCAGCATCTGGGAGGGCAGAAGACCCATGAACTTGGTACGTGGGTTTTTTGTGGATATACACCATCGATATTTTTCTATTTACTCTTAGAGTAGTGGTCTTTTCTGTTTAATAAATGCTAGATCATTAGGGCATCCTCTCTACAAAGCCAGTTAGTAACACCTTCAAACTTTGAACCAAATTAAAAATAAAATTTTTGCAAAGTACACAGAAACCAACAATTAGTAACAATATATTTTATTGTTTGACCAAGCTGTCTTCAGAGTAAGCTAGTTATTACACAATATATAAACAATAGTCTCCTATTCAAAATTACTCTAGATTTATTTAGCAAGTCTTATTTTTGTAAACAAATTAAATACCATGTTTAAATGCATTTTATATCTATTTTCACATTTTAAAATCCTTTCCTACTACGGTGACAACTCAATCAGTTTCCCTATAGTTTTGTCATGTACAGAAAAGACTGTTAAAGCTGCAAATAAGCATTATACCTTGAATTCACACAAAATATCTTAAATGGCCGATTCTGAAACAGAAACCAGTATTTGTTTTGGATACATGCCCTCATTTTTAAAAACATTACGTCAGCATCACCTTTTTCCATGTGTTTCTATACCTAACTTTTTTTTTTTTTTAATTATGGCCGACAAATGGATACAGAGCAGGAAAAAGAAACTTCAGAATTTTTTTTCTTAAAGACTGCATTTCCTAGGAACCCAGGGATGATTTGCACCGCACCTCTTTGGTCATCAAAGGAACAGGAGCAGACACGGAGGAGTGGATTCTCGGTGTCATTTTCAGCCTCACCTGACGTCAGTAACATCGTCAGAATGAAGGGTTTAAGTATAAGCTTCAAATTAAAAGAACAAAAAAGGCATTTTCATAGATAATCTTCTGATATTTCTAGCATTCTCATGTATTTACCTGTAGTTTTTAAAATAAGCTAGAAGTATAATAAAAAGAATCCAGTGGAAAATTGACGTATCTTTAAACTAGAAATTGAATAAACAGGTTTTTAAATAGTAAACTCCATTTTCAGTGTAAAGTCTTAAGTTTCATTTCTTTTCAGAACTTTTCTCTCATATTTTATAATTTCAATTTTAAAAGAATTAAATTTTACATTTCCCATTATGGGAAAAAAAGGTTTACTATACACTGAAATAGCTTTACTATTATCAGTTGAAATGAAACTGCTAATTCAACTTAAACTATATGAACTAAATAGTATTTCAACTAAGAGCAATTTTAAAGGCGATTCCTCTACTCAACACTGAAATAAGTTGTAATAAATTTTGTGAGAAAGTAATTTACTATTTTGAAATATGATAGAAATAATATCCAGCTGCAACATATATATTGAAACATCAAGAGTATCAATAAGCTTCGAAGTTCATATGGACCATAAATGTGGGAGATTTAAATGAACACCTTTAAGATTAAGATTGCACTTCAATTCTCAAGTGTCTAAATGAAAGCAAAACACAGACACCAGTGTGTCTAATTGTTCTAATACATAAATGACCCTGACAGACTTTTATGAAGGAAAAAAAAAAAAGGCAAACATTTGTTTCCATTGTCAAATTTGTTTTCCATAAATATAATGTATAAACCTTAAATTAGCATACACCTTATTAGGGGTGGATCCCCCCCAAAAAAACAACAATAAACAAAACTACACGATGCAAAAAGGCAAAACCAAGTTCAGCATAATGTGATTGTTTCCAATCAGTGTTGGTTATGTTGCCCTCTTGCAAAATGACAGGCAAAATCATACTTGTTCTTACACTTGCATCCACATATGTTACACTGGAAAGGATTTTCATACCCATGACACCCCATGTGGATGGTGTACAGGATGTTGTCAGCGAAGTACATGTCGCAGTGCTGGCAGTGGTGCAGCAGCTGCGGGTCCTGGGCCGGCAGGGTGGGGGCGGGGGTGCTCGGCTGGCTGTTTCCGATGCTAGGAGTGCTCGTGTGCGCACTCGGCTCACTGCTGGGACCCGCCACCGGGCTGTAGTTCCTCTGACTGTGTGGCGGCCGAGGCTCGGGGCTGGTTGGGGAGGAGCTCTGAGGCATGCCTGCCGACACGGCAGCGACCACTGCTGCGCCAGGGGGCTGCTGCATCATGAAAGGCTTCTCGTCCGGGCAGGGAACTACATCGGGGGATGCGGGGTTTGGGTTTTCAGGTGGCAAACTGGACAACTGTCCCGCTAGAGTGGAGAGCTGATTTAAAGGGTTGTCAACCAGGAGTTCTTGGGGGTCCCTTGCCAGGCCACCAGTGGAAGTGGTTTTCGCCATATTTTCATAGGAATCAGTCTGGATGTTTGAGATTTCATGGGTGAAATCGTTAAGGTAGTCTGGCTTCTGGACCACCATGGAAGGTGGACTTAAGTTGATTAGTGCTCTTCTGCTGTAGCCCAGATTGCTTGTTTTCTTCTGTAAAACCCCCCACATTTTCTTGCTGCTTAAGGAAGACCTAGTACCTTTAATTGGTACCATTTTATGTTTGCGCCTCCGGTGATGGGACAGGTTACTCCGATCACTGCAGCGGAAGGAACACAGCTCACATTTGTATGGTTTTTCTCCTGTGTGGGAGCGCATGTGGGCCTCCAGGTGACGTTCATAAGCAGATGCAAATGGACATAAGTGACATCTATGAGGTTTTTCACCTGTTTAGAAAGAAAAAACGGGAGAAGCTGCGAGAGGAGCTCATTTATGTGAAGTTTCATGTTTTGTCCATTCATTAGATTTGAAATTGATCATCTAAAATGCTTTTCAGAACTTCACATTTGCACAAAAGATTGTTAAAATCTGTAAAGAAATCTGCAAACAGAGCTTCAGGCCTCATCAGCAACAATTTGAGATCCACAGGTATAATCTATCCGTCGATACAGTGTAAAACTTGTTATGGCTTCAACTGACATTCGAGGAGGGCAGACACACAGCACAACTGATGATAATATTCCCTATATAGGAATGATTTTACCAAAAGTATACCCCAGAGTTGCATGTTCATGTATGTATCTATACATGACCCTTATTCATACATATTTACACACATGTAAATACCCCTTCCTCAGGAAAAAATACAAAATTCCTTTTTCAATAAGTCCTTACATCCAACAGGAAGCCGAAAACCGAAGTGGGCTGCTAGTCCCGGTGCGAGGTGCACGAAGGATCCCTTCCAGGCGCCAGCCTCCCCCCGCCCTTCCCCTCCCCTCGGCTGCCAGGAGGGAGCGCTCAGCCAGTGCTGCCAGGCGCCGATGGCCAGACGTGGGAAACAACCATCTGCATTACGACGAGGGCTGGGGGCATCCGTTCGACAGTTAAGCGTGGGGTGCCTGCCGCCCACCCGATGCCCAGCCGGGCTCTGGGGCCCAAACACGGCGCCACACAAGCCCCGTGCTCAGCAGGCTTCCAGACCACAGCACAGCGCGGGAAGCCAGTGGGGCGCAGGGGAGGGACACCCGGTGTGCTCCGGGCCAGGACCAGGTGTGGTCAGGAGGGTGTCACCGCAGGAGGGACAGCTGCAGTGGGGCGTGTGTTGTGATGCTGCTGCTTTGTAAAGATGGAGCAACTCCCCATTTAGTCCGACCTTCTACCAGCCCTCCTGTTTAACCCATCGGAACTACTTATACGACAGATCAACCCGCCCTCCTTGGCCCTCTCCTGCCGCCAGAGGGCCTCCTCCGGTGCCTTCTCCCTTACCTGTGTGGATTCTGATGTGTTCAATAAGCCGGGCCGTTCCTTTGCTGGCATAGTTGCAATACCGGCACTTGAGCTTCCCATCGAAGGTCCTTTCGAACCCGTCCACTAACATTCCTGAGTTTTCATCCAGGGAAACTTCAACAGATGGGTGATCGAGTCCATTTTGATCACCATCTGTTCCAGCTATAAAAAAAAGTACAGCAAAGAAATTATGCATCTCAGAATCAACTCAGTATAGCATTTTAGTCCTGAGTGATAGAAAATCTTCCATGAAATGAGAGTTTACTAGCTTACTTGCAAACTCGATCAGTCCTCAACATGGCTTTGCAGAAGAGAACAGCACGTTACCTCACTGGACAGGTACGGAGACAGGGGAGTCAATGGTGACGGCGTAGTTACACACATTTTTGAGTCTAGCCACTCCTACACATATAACTGGAAGTCATAAAAATCCCCCCAAATCCGAACTCTATTTACTTTAGCCTAATCCAGTTAATGCTGAGTTTTGTACTGTTCCAGTCAATATGCATGTCCTAGATTATGGGCTGCATTTTCGATCATGAAATCATGATAAAGCACCTAAAGGAAAACACTGTATTTGACTCCTCTGAGTATTACCACTGTAAAGCTCTGAGTGCTAGAAGATGTTTGTTTGGCTCCTTGCTCTCAACGCAATCTGCCTACTTCTCTGGACCAAGGCACTGAAGGGGCAAGCGCTCACGACGGGAACCCAGCAACCAGCGGCACCAGCGCCCCGGGCTCCACACACGAGAGCGCCTGGAAGGAAGTGCTTATTCCTGCAGCTTCCCGGGAAAAGCAGCTCTGCCCCACCCCCAGGGGGCAGCAGTGTGACCTGAGGAATGGAAGCAGCGCCCCCACCCAGAAGTGACTGCTGCTTGGCGCAAGTCCAGCATGCAGTAATGCCACTGCCCTGCAGAGGTACAGGCTCGGTGTCCCCCCTTCTCCCACTGCTTTCCCAAGCCAGCGACTCTCCAACCACCGATTCTGATTCAGCAGATAAGAGGTGGGGACTGACACTCTGCGCTTCTAACAGTCTTCCAGGTCTCCGCTGCTGGTCCCTTGACAAGGCCACGGCCCACCTAGGTCAGGGGCCAGGGAGCTTTTCCTCTAAGGGTCAGACAGTAAATACTTTGGGCTTTGGGAACCATATGGTCTCTATCGCAATCACTCAACTCTGCACTGTAGCCCAAAAATAGCTACCGAAAACATGTAAACAAGCAAGTGTAGCTGTATTTCAGTGAAACCTCATGGATGCTAGAGTCTGGATTTCATGTAATTTTCACATGTTATGACATTATTCTTCTTTTGATGTTTTCCCAACCATCTTTAAATGCAGGAGGCACTCGGAGCTTCCAGGTCACGCAGAGACACTTAGCAGTCCCGATGGGCTCAAGGCCGCAGTGCGCTAACCGCTAGTTAGGGTCAGCCCCAAAATCCAGCGTGTGTGGCACACGAACTGGACACACGCTCTGTAGCGGATCGCTGCTCTCTATTCTAGTTTTTCCTCCTAGACAGGTAAACACGGTCGGCCCTTTCTTCGCTTTAAACGAGAAGAAACGGGAACCCCCATTTTGTTTCAGGTCCCACCCAGATTTCCTACTGGCCAGATCCTGCCCACAGTGAGGCTGGCGCTTGGCCTGCTGGGTTGCTTGGGTCTGTCGTTAGTGGACAGAACGCGGAGGCCAGGGATGGTACTTAGAACCCTCATCTTCCAGCAGGGCCACAAAGCATCCTGGGCCGTGTTAAGTCCTTGGGGAGCTTCACTCTCCATCAGCAAAAACCTGACATGTTTGAAGAAAGAAAAACAAACTGCCCTGTATCTTTTTAGGAAAAAATGGAATGATGCGCACTAGTGAATAGTGGTCTTCACAGGATGTAACTACACACAAGCGTGATCTGTCTAGGAAAGGTGAGTGACTACTAGTATGAAGATGAGTCTACCTCCCTGAAGAGCCTCTGCTTCTTTGTCCCCGCTGACGGACCCAGAAATCATGTTCACGTGGTGGGTCTGCTGGGTCAGGTACTCCTGGAAGTCCTTCACGAAGTCCAGGGGCTCCGGCTTCTTTTCACCCATCTTTGATTTTTTTTTAAGTTTACAGTTTGTTATACCTAGGGGGGAAAAACTGAAGTAATTTTACACGAGTTAGAGAGATCCAGTACATATGAAAACAACAACAGTGACGGAGATTACTGTGTGCAAGCACTATACAAAGCAACAGAGAACACAGCCCCTGTCTTTAAATATTGTATCATCTTCCCGGTGAACGAGAGAAGGCATACCAAAGATGGTGAAAATTAATATATTTAATACCATATATAATATGAAACAATACTGCATAATTAAATAGTATTAAAGTAAACATTAAATAATATAAATATAAGTGACATAATAGACAATGAATATAATAAACATAATGTTAAAATGTATTATTTAATATGTTTAAACTGGGAGTCATACTTAAACCTTAGCGGATGGAAGGAAGTGACACAGACAGAGAAGAAGAGGAAACGAGTCCCCAGATGAAACAGGCGCACCAGCAGGGCTCCCAGTGGGGACAGTGAAGAGGCCGAGTGGCTCTCGGGGCCGCCAGAGTTTTCTGGAGGAGGGACAGGCTGCACACCTGCGTGGCCCAGTACGGCTGCTACCGGCTGCACACAGCTACTGAGCACTTGCAACGTGGCTACTGCTAAGTGACCTGAATTTTACACTGTATTCCATTAACTTAAATTGAAATAGCTAATTATGGCTAGGGACTACCAGTACGGACAGCGAAGGCTCCTAAGTCACGGGGTGCACACGAGTAAGTACTCCGGCAACAGACGATCTTGAGCAGGGGCGGCAAACCTTTCTGTAACAGGCAAAACAGTGAACAGCTGAGGCCTTGCAAGTCATGCAGTCTCTGTCCAAACTACTCAACTCTGTCACTGTCGCTAAAAGCAGCCAGACACAGTATGTAAATGAACGAGAGTATGCCTGTGTTTCAATAAAACTACAAAAACAGGCATTGAGCCCAATTTGGCCTACCAGCCAAATCAGATCTCTCTAAAATCAAAAAACATATTAAACATATCCTCAGGTGAGAATATAAACAAAACTCGAAGTTTGTGCTTTGCCTTTCCCCATCTCCCTGGTATTTTCTTAAACTGGTTCTCTGTTTCCTAACCATTATAACACTGTATTACTGTTTGTTTTTGTGGCTATAGTTGACTCTACTGATTATTTGTCCTTTAAAATTTGCCCTTTGATTAGGAAAAAAAAGTGAGACAGTCAGCTCCAATGAAAAAGATTATTAAGAATAAGATCAAGAACAATACAAGGTTATTTGTCGATAAAACTGAAAGTAGGAAAATAAGACAAAACACAGAGGAATGAGAGAACTGTAAAAAACATGCATAAAAAGGTAAGAAATATAGTGGACAGAGGTGTAGAATGAGTTCCAGAAACAGAAAAAAAGGGAGAAATGGTTAAAAAAAAAAAAAAGATCAAGAAATTTCCAGAACCAGAGATCTCGTTCAGATTCAATGAGATCACAGAGTGTACAACACAATTTATGATAATAACACTTAGGCATATTACTGTGAAATTTAAAAACCTCGAAGACAAAGAAAATCATACAACAATGTCTACAAAGAAATGGCAGCCTACCCATATAAGAAAAACAATGAGACAGATACAGGGTATCAATGGCAACCCGAGGTACAAGGAAATAACAGGGCAATTGTTTATGCAAATTCAGAATGTTTTAACTTCGAGTTGATAAAGGATATCTTCCAAAACTCTAAATTACAATTAATGGAGAAAATTAGATGCATGGCCTTTGGAATCACGAACAATACAAGAATGCTTGCTATGCCTACTATTTTTTTTACTGAACTTCTTGGGGTCACTCTGGTTAATTATACAGGATTGCAGAGGTGATGTTTTATAGTGCATCCTCTGTATATTGTATTATGCTACTGCTACTCAACACAGTACTGGAGACAGGGCCCCCCCACAATGACAGGGAAAGGGAAGGGGAAGGGAAGAGAGAAGGTATGAGGAACGGGAGAAAAAAGATTAAAGAAAAGATGATGATGATGGTGATGATGACGCCGCCGACCTAGAAAACTGTTGTATAAACTGTAAAAGCACTAAGGCTCTATAGCTTGTCTGTGGTGTTTACCTTGCAACTTAGCACCATTTCTAGCCAGTCAGTTCATATGAAAACCGATGTTTCCACTGGGAAAGATCTGAAAGTGCTGTGACAGGCTTCAATAAGCAAGATAAATCTTACCAAATCCTGATTAGAAAGCGTAACACTGCTAGGGTGCAACAGGAAACATGGAAGAAAAAATGTGGAAGATTGCCAGGACAAAAGCAGAAGAAAACAACTTTTATCCAAGCATCTCAAGTTTTAAGAACACGAATGCGCCTAATTACAGAGAGCGGCCGGCCTGTTTGGGCGGGCCTGGCTGTTACCACACTGTCACACTGTGCGTTTCACTGTGTTCCCTGTCATAAACCGTGCGCTGATTTTCGATCGTAATGCATGATGGGCTTAAAAAAATCAAAAAACAGAGGATGCCAATGGTAAAAAGGAAAACAGTACTGTAAACATGCAAGAAAACTATTTTTTAAATTACAGTTTTAGATGTACTGATACGGCTTGTAACCTTAGACCTACACCATACCTCCCTCTCCCCCAACACGCACGCACGCACACACGGGTGTGCGCACACACCCGTGACTGGCCCTTGCACAGCTCCAGTCCCTGCAACGGCCAACGCTGAACGGAAGACGCCGGGTCTGCCCGGAGCCTGTGGTTCCAGACCCAGGTTTCTCCAGCTCAAGTGTGTGCCTCTGAGCCCCATACACAGAAAATGGACAATGCTTCTGAAAAAAACAGACGTTTTCTGATATGGAAAGGAAATACAGATTTTATATCCAAACTACCAGTCTTCAATAAAATAACCAAAAGCCTCAGGACTAAAAATTTAACCTAAGAACTCCACAAGTTAACTGCTACCTGGAAAAGCTTCTAATATACTAATAAACTGTAAAACATTTGCAGAGGTAACATAAAAACCTACTTTGGAAATCAGAAAACTGTCATGTTTTCACTAAAAGTATCTTTTCTGCTAGCCATGAATTCAACACCTTGGAGCTTGTTAGCCAAAAAAGTACAAAATTTCAAAAAGTGTTAAGATTACATCACCAGAAAAAGAAACATATTTAAGAATTCTCCGCTTTCATTGTAGATTCGGGTGGTGCAGCCCAAGACTGAGCTATTCTCTCTGTAACTGGCATCTAACTATACGAACTACAGAAGGGTGTCCCCGTACTTGGTGAGCAGCACTCCCTCCAACACAGCCAGCTTCCCGAGTCCACCCTGTGCGCGCTCTGATGCAAGTTAAACTGGGTATTCCACGGCACCACGTGTCTATGTAGAAACTGACTAGAATATACCTGTTACTTTTATGTCAACAGCTTCTCCCAAATTATCCATTCAAGACTCAAAACTAAGGTTCTTAACAAAACAATCAGAGGGCACTCACCCTAGTGAAGGACAGATGTGTTTGAGAAATAAGCTTTGATATCCCCAAAGAACATGAAGACCTTTTTACCTTTAAGCAGGCAACTGTAACGATTCTCTGACCTTTTTCTTTTAATTTTGATAAAGGATTTATTTGTATGATGCCCTCCCATCTTTCTTCGTCAGTCTCATATAAATGGGAAGTTCTTGATCAATACAGGGTCCGGCACAAATAACGCCCCCTTTTTTTTAACTACAAAATCTTTTATTACAAAACCATTAGCATGAAATTCTGTAACATAACAATACCACACTCAAGCACACCATACGGCATTTTAGGTGAAACGTTCAAAATAAAACTGTAAATTATGGTACCTACATCATTACCCTACCAACCACACTCAAGCAGGTGATACTTCTGCCGGACCCTGTACACACACATACATGTATGTACACACACACACACACACACACCCTTCTCACCAGTAGGTAACAATATGGAGGCAGCGCCATGCAAAATAGAAGACAACCACAACCGTGAAACAGAGGTGACGTAAGAACCAGGAGAGGCTCTTTAACCCTCCTTCCTTCCAAAGTCTATCCTTTCCCTAAGCTACAGGAGAATTCTGAGAAAACATGATTAGGGAAGAGTAGACCCTGTTATCTACCCAACGTTTCTGCAAGGGCCGCTCACCCCGAAGCAGCGCACTCAGCAGCTACCGTACTCGTACAAGGACTTAACTGGGGGTGAGCGGGGTCCACACGTACACAGTGACTGCAGTCCAGCCGAGGTGTCCGCTTGCTTAGACAAAGGGCGACGGCGACTGAGAGGCGCTCCGCCGCAGAGCGCCCTCCACGGAGAAGGCCCACGAACGAGTGTGGGGCGCAGAGAACAACAGGACCTTCAGGGAGAATAGGGCGCTTCTCCTCTGATTACAGAACCGTCCAAAAAACAAATTCTTGAAGGCGAGAAGGGACATTAGGAGGCTCAGGGAAATCAGAAAACATAAAACATAAATAAACACAAGTTAGAAGAAATCCAAAAGTGGAGTTACACGATCTAACCTTTTCACCCCAAATCAGTTCCTCCTTTTTCTTGCCACTCCAACATCGATGAAACGTCGAGTAATGGAAATTTACTCTGGAGACACACCAGGGGACTCCAAAAGGCCATGGAGGGGATTTCAACTAAAATTGAAAAGCCACACAAAGGTCTGCAAAGAAAAACACACAAATCAAAATCTTTATGATAAAAATTTAATTAGCACCTACCGGTTTAATAAGCTCCAAAAATAACTTGTGCCGATTTTCCCATTTCCAGAAAAGCAAACTCACAGGTAACCAAAGAACAAAATAACAGATTCACTTCGACAAAAGCTTGAAAGAATCACCAAAGAATAACATGCACTAGTGTGACTACGTTTTTTTCCTTCAACCAGTGGATTTCATAAGACTTCATTTTTGGCAAAACGTTTACATCTTTCTAAATTCAAGTCACTAATTTCATTTGTTTATAGCACACTTCTAAAAGGGTCAGGCTTACTACTAGCTGAACGCCTGTGGTTGCATAAAAGCAATGCGTTAGGGGAAACGTTGGGGGGAAGGGGTTTTTACAGAAACCCCACCAGACTCACCCCGAAGGGGCACACCTGGACTCCCACCGCGACCCTCCTTTCTATGGCAACCAAAACACTTAGGGTTTTGTGGGAAACACTCTGGACCCCCAAGGGCAAAAAAAGAAAAAAAAAAAAAACTACTAGCGTCTCAAATCGCTGTAACCAATTCCCAAGAACATATTAATCTGGAGCTGCGGTGAAGGCACAATATAAACAAAATTAAATGGAACTTAAAACTGTTGGTCCAGACGTTTTAAAAGGTGGCTTGAAGTTTTGTTTCCTATAATTTCTCTAGATCTCATAATTTAAAGCGCCTTTACTTCATCTCCCGCTTGTCACTACTCGTGGATTTTGAACAGCCCATTAAGGGGACACTGAATGGGCCAGTGTTTAGTGGCAGCTGGAACTGGTTTAACTTCAATTCAGAATATTGTTACCGAGCACTTACAAGATGCATGACTTGGCTACTCGCACCCCAGTTTATTAAGTGACTTAAACCCCGCGTGAACCTGAAGAGTTCTTTGCTGCAAAGTCCTCCCCAAACCTCACACCTCCCCAGAATTAGAGGGAAAAAAGCAGTAAAAACGCCCCCGAGCAGGAACATCAATAAAAGACGGAGGTCTGAAAAGTCCTTCTCCCAGGACTTGCGCCGGGGCGGCATCCTCACCAGGATTCGCAAAACCTAGGAGACCAGCGCCTCGCCTGACCCCCAGGCCCCGGAGCCCGCAAAGAGGCAAAGCGCAGGGCACCCCCGGCACGACCACCTGTCAGAGCCCGAGGCAGCCCCCGACCGCGGAGCCTGCGAGCCCAAGCCCGACGGTGCCTCCACCGCGGGCGCCGCTGATTCGGGACCGCCGCGGCCACAGGCACCGCACCCTCCGCACTTGGACCAAGAAGGTCCCGGGTCGTGACCCTACCGACCCATCCACCACGCCCTTCCCTCCGCTGGAGCTGAGTCGCGGGCGGGGTCAGCGAGTCAGCCGCGACCCCGGCTCTCGCATCCCGCGGTTCCTCCGTAACCGTCGTGCTTAGCCGCGTGGCTGCCGGCTCGGACGGCAGCCTGCTACTTACCACCGGACAACCGCACCGAGTAACGCCCACCGCCTTGTACAACGCCGCTGCCGCCACGGTCGCCGCCGCTGCCGCCGCCGTCTCCGTCACCGGCGCCGCCGCCGCCATGTTCGGTACGTCTTCGGCTGCCTTCCCGCCCCACTGCCTCCCCCAAGTCTCGCGTGAGCAAAGAGTAGCGCGAAAGCGGAAAAGAGGCTTGTGTCTTTCTCGGAGTTCCGTAGGCACGGGGGGCGTGGTCAAAGAGTGCGGGTAGGCGGGTACGAAGTGGGCGGGCGCGGGCACGGAGTGGGCGTGCCCTGGATCCACATCTTCTAGGTGCCGCCCTGCGGCCCGGAGATTTACTGGAGCGATTTCGCGGGTTCCGGAACGTCGTTCGGCCTGCCGCACAGATGGAGGGAGCAGTGGTTCGGCTGCTGCGCGGCAGCGCGCTGGTGAGTGCGCTGGCGGTGGGCGTCCTAGGAGCCCGGGACAACCTTGGCCCCGGCCGCAGTCTTCTAACGGGACTGGGGCGCCTGTCCCTTCTCGCGCGGCCAGTCTCACTGCGAGCAGACCGTGACCGTGACCTCCCTCCAGACCTCCGGCCGAGCGGGCCTACGCTTCTTTAAGGCGGGTTGGAAGTGGCAGCTGGTGAGAAGGGGGCTAGGGGCTGGCCTAGAAGCTTCCTTTGCGGAGCAAGCACCTTGCGTGGTGTCGGAGAGCCGCCCCTGCAAGATGTCCTTTGCAGACAATTATTGGGCCCGGGGAGCCACCGAGGCTCGGGTCTTCGGGGATATTTTGCAGAGATGCCACCTCTCCGATGCCACCTTTACCCAAAGGTTATAAATTTCATGCCCCCTCTCCTCCAAAAACAAGATTGTTAAAAGTAGGCACAGTTCCAGGCAGAGTGTTTCCCTGTCCTCCCTTCTGCAGTCCTGAGGCATAATTAGGAAGGGACTGCGAGGTAGGTCGGTCGCACTTGGCGACCATGAAGAGAACTCCCTCTGGTCCTTATCTCGTGGCTGGTGCCTGGGCATCTTCATGGATGGGCTCTCCGTGGGACAAGGGAGCCCGTCCCGCTTGCTCGAAGTGGAGCTGAAACCCTGCGCCCGGGAATAGCCACCTGTTGTTCCTAATTCAGCTCTCTGGACCTACGTTGATTCTTCAACAGTTCTTGTGTCTGCGTTCTTTTTACATTAAACAGCCCTACTTTCTTCAGCCCTGCCCTCTTTGGCATGCTTTCCAGAAGCCCCAGGCATTTGGATACATTACCGTTTGTCAGCACACGTCCTTGGGATCTTTCGCAATGCTGACTGTTTACTTTTTGTATTTCTTTTTATTTGCTTAATGAGTTAAAGGCTCTTCAACTGCTGCCCATAGGCAGGACTCTATTTTTGTTTCATTAGCGATAATTAAAGTTATTTGATATTTACATTCCTGAGGTATTTTAAAACATTAGTCCAATAATGTTAGCATGTTGTTGCAAAGAAAAAAAAATATGTTGTAATGGTTACTACATAATACTCTTTTATAATTTGTTTTATTATTTATTTTTAGACAGAGAGGAAGGGAAGGAGAAAGAGAGGAAGAGAAATATCCATGTGTGAGAGATACATCAATAGTTGCCTCTTATGAGCCCTCAACTGGGTTGCAGGCATGTGCCCTGACTGGGAATGGAACCAGTGATGTTTACGTTCGCAGGCCAGCACTCAATCCGCTGAGTCACACCAGCCAGGGCTTATTTTATAATTGTTGTTTAATAGTTTGGCAAAGAAAATTGCCTGGGTTTCACAGGTTTGACTCTTTGTGTCATTTATTTAATTCTCACAACCATCCTAAAAGGTAGTTTAATTTTTCAGGCGCAGAGCCTGCAATTGAATAAGATTAAGTGACTTGCTCGAAGTCACTCAGCTGGAAAGTAACAGCAGGTGTTCCAACTCTGGTCTGATTCTAAACTTAACCTTCATGCACTAATGCCTCCTCCCCTTCCTTAGAGATACCAGAGACCTGTTTTGTTTGCATTTGTTGGTTTTGTGGTGGCTTATCATTCTTTATAGTTTTTAAAGCACTTTTACATGTTTTAGGTTATGTAACTGATGGGATGGTGACTGTAGCGTAGTGGTTAAGAATGTGGGTTCTGTAGTCCGATTGCTTGGGTTCGAACCCAGGCTCTGTCACTCCCTAGTAGTATAATCTTGGGCAGGTTACTTAACCTCCTTGGGTCTTAGTTTTCTGATCTGTAAAATGATGAAAATAATAGTGCCTATAGCCACAGGGTTGTCGTGAAGATTAAATGAATTTATATGTGCATGTGAGGCACTTGAAGCGGTGCCCAGTGTCCTTCAATATTAGCTCTTATCGTTGTCATGCGTGTGGCACTGGGTGCTACAACAGGTGTAACAAAGACCCCAAACACTTACCCACAAGGAGTTTATCTTTCAGAGGAAAGATTAAAGCTGTATTCTAGCACCCTCACAGCATTTAGATGTCATACAAATTCTAAGGGGTCCACAGTCTGCCTGTGGGTTCGTAGGAGGGACAGGTGACCAGGATGACTGGGGCGGGGGGGGGGGGGGGGAGGGACAGGCTCTCTAGAAGCGGGGTTTGGATGTTGGGGGGGGAGGGAGTGGGGAGAACACTGATGTGAAAAGGGATAGCGTCATTTTAAGGAATTTTGGATTCCTTAAATTCCTTTGGGTGGTGGAGAGGCATGGAAGGTTTTGAGCCTTGGAGTTACGTGATTATAGCTATGATTTAGTTAGGTTGCTATCATAGGAAGTGGTCTGGAGGGCAGAGAAATGGCAAGGCCAGGCCAATTTTTGTCCCTGTGCAAAGAAGAATGGAAGTCAGCATTTAGTGAGCATCTCCCGTGGCCCAGGGGCAGCGGCGTCCGCCCACTGCCCTATTTACTCTCTCTGCGAACGCTGTGAAGCAGACGGTAGTGACTTCTTTCCCACTTTCCCAGAGGAGGAACAGAGAGGCGGTGCGCACCGTCCTCTTGTCACCCAAACATCAGGTGGTGGCACTGGCGCTTAGCCATGCCGCCTTCTCAGATCTTCCTATTCCTGAAGATTAGAACTCACCTGTACATTTTGCCAAATTGCGCTTTTCGAACAACGCAATGCCAAATTGCGTTGGCATTGTCCGTCAAGCCAGCCAGTGGAGCCAACGCATTTTAGGCAGCTTGATACTTTTCAAGAGGTCCTTCTCGAAAAACACCCTTAAGGAAATTCCTTGTTCAGTTCGTCCTGTCCAGCAGGAATGGGTTCCAAGAGCTTCTCTCCACCTCCCTTCTCGCGCCACCATCCCCACCCCCACTCCAGAGCCGAGGACAGGGCTGCCTCTGGTCTGACCCTCCCCGCCACCTGCCTGGCTTCCAGGAAACCGACCCCTGGTGCCAAAAAAGCTGGGACCACTGCTGTACAGGACTGTCTGATCGTCTAACTGCTGGGCTAGATGTAAATCTTGTTCAGCTTTGTGCTATTGGAAGCCATCAGTACTCTTTTTGCTCATGTATTTGGCGTCCGGGTGGGGAGAGCTTGGTAGCTAAACAGAAACTTCACGGGTGATTACACAGAGATTCTGAAGGCAGGCCACTCGAGTTTGAACCCGCTGCTGCCTCTTGGCAGGATGACCTTAGACAAGCTACTGCTCGCCTCTGTGCCTCTGTTTCTTTTTCTGCAAAGTGGGGATACGGCTGTGTTAAATGAGATATGGGATGCCAAGTGCTTAGGGCAGCTCCTGGCGCATTGTCAGTACTCAGTAAACACTAGCTGTTACTAATACAGGCAGAATCCATCACCAGTATCTCTGGGGCTGTGAAGGTCTTTGCTCACTGCAAAATATGCTGGTATTCTGATCCGTCTTAGGGACCTATACGTTCACAACAGGGTCCTTAAGGAAATGGCATTTCTAATTGGGGAGACAGGTTCTGTATGTTAAGAAATGCGTATTGGGACAGAAGACAGTGCCTTGCCAGTGCCGAGTACATGTTGGTGGTGGGGACAGGTGTGCCTAGATGAGGCAAGGCTTGAACTGACCAGCAAAAGCAGGGGTGGCTTAGATTTAGGTTAAAGAACAGAGGGGTGGAGGTGCCAGGTCAAGGGCGTGTGTCAGCAGCAGTGGAAAGGTAGGAATACACCCTGAGAAATCATCAGGCCGGGACTGGGGTGTGATAAGTTTGCAGGGCGATGGGATGGCTTCAAGTGGCGGTTCCTTTCACACTAAGGGGTTAGGTCTGTACTTGTCCCCGCAGCAGTGAGTGCTGCCCACAGTCCTGGGTCACAGCCCTTTCATTCACCAAGACGCGAACATTCCATCATGTCAGTACTCATTGTACATCATGTCAGTACTCATGTCAGTACTCATTCACCAAGACGCGAACATTCCATCATGTCAGTACTCATTGTACAGAGAAGTCCATGTTTCTTTGCTGTTGCCAATACAGCTTTGTTTTCCACCCTTCCTTCTCTCTGGTTTCAGGCAGTCAAAGTCAGCATCAAGATCTTCTCTGGCAGCCGTAAGTGTCTCTCTCTTTTCTCTAAGGGTCTTTGCACTGCAAAACAAAACTTGCAACTTCCACAGCCAAAAGCCTTAAAAAAAAAGGGGGGGGGGGTTATGGGCCATTGCCAGCAAGTTCAAGGACCAGGCCCCGGGGAAGTCATAAACCACCAACGGCAGGCCAGGTGGAAACAAGATAATAAGTCACCCTGGAGTTGATGAGAATCTCTACACATTTTGTTTTGGGGAAGAACAATGGAAGTTTTGAAAGAATGTACATGGGCCACCGATGAGGGGGCAGGGGTGGGAAAAGGTCAAGTGAGCTAGTTCTGGAGCAGGAGCAGAGAGTCCCGCTTGCTCCTAGGGATGGATGACGGGCTGGAGACTTGGGAGGCTCCGCGACGCCTGGCTGTTCTCTTTCAGACACTGATCCTGGGGCTAGCCGCCTGCAGTTAAGTCCGAGATCCGGCATCCGCTCGGAATGCCAGCAGTCTTGTGAGCTGCCCCTTGGCTTTTCTCAGCTGACCATTCTTTGCCTCTCTCTCCGGCCTGCTGCAGTGTACTGTAGGGACAGGTCGGAATTTTTCTCTTCGGCGCGCTGGCCCTGTCGTGGGTTCCTGTTGCCTCGATTCCTCGTTTCCTACGTGCTAGACCAGGGTTTCTTGACCGCGGCCCCGTGGACCTTGGAGGCCAGAGAATTGTCCGTTGCGAGACCCCGCCCTGCCCTTTGTAGGGCCCGTACTCGGCGCTTGTGAGCAATGAACGACCAGGGGTGTCTGTGGGCATCGCAGAGCGCACCTGGAGGCCGCGTCCTGTCCCCACTGGGGAGCCAGGTGTCGCCCTGTGCTCCACCCTCCAGGTGTGCTTTGCGAGGGTGAGAAAGGCGGCCTTTCTCCCTGTGCTCCTGTAGAAAACTCAGTGTCGACATACCTGACGCCACACCCAGTTTGTCGAC